GTTACCCTTGGGCAAGGAAGGGGGATAGGGTTGTCCTCAGACTCTGAAGCTCTTGGGGTGACTACTGACACAGCTCATCTTTGTCTCTCCTCTCCACATAGCAATATGGTTGGGGGTTTTCTTGGTCTCTAAATTACAGGAACTTGGAGAGGGGAAAGCAGGGAAACAGGTGGCCAGTGAAGGTCACATCTGCATTACTCCAGCCAAGATGAAAATGGGAGAGACAGAGCATGAGGCCTTTGTAGTTCACAAGGCCTTTGTATTTGAACTTTTCTGCCTCAGTAGTAGTAGTAGCAGCAAGATCAGAAAAAGTCATGTTACTAAAAGAAATTATAGTGATTATTCATGTTGTTGCTATTATCACTGCCATTATATTGAAATATAGTTATGCCTCCACCACATTTTCAATTGTGAACTGCTGAAGAAGAGGGTCCAAGTCTTGTTCATCACCATATGCTCAGCATCTAGAACAGGGTTGGGGAACCATTTTTCTGCCAGGGCCATTGAGATATTTATAAACATCATTCACAGGCCAAACAGAATTATAAACTTAAAATTAGTCTGCTATATTTGTTCACACATCTAATTAACTCATCCCTAATGCATTGTTAGGGCCAGACCAAAAGATTTCATGGGTTTTATATGGCCCAAGAGCTGGACATTCACCATCCCTGATCTAGAACGTCAGTTACCCCAGTGTAGGTGATGAGTATTCGCTATTAAATACCAATGAAATACATTTACCCCAGTGTAGGTGATGAGCATTGGCTATTAAATACCAGTGAAATACATTTCCCCTCTTTCCTTTCCCCCTGCAGCACTCTGCTTTACTGGTTCTACCTCTTTTATTAGAACTCTCTATACCAGCATACTTCAACAGCTCAACATTTGGTCTTCCTTCTATATCTAGACTATTTATCTTAATGTGTCACCAATCCTGTGACATTGAATACCAGCTACACACTGATGACTACTAACACGTATCTCACCCCTACCTCTCCCCAGCTGTCCAATACCTGCCTATTTAGCACATTCACTTGGATATCTTAAATATATCTCAAACTTAGCATGCTGGAACCTGGATCCTGAATATGCCCTCACCCAAAATCTGTTCTATTGACAGCCTTCCTCATCTTTGTTGTTTTCAATTCATTGTTTTACACTCTTAGAGTTATTAGCTTTCTGTTAGTTGATTACCACCAAAATCTCCATTGCTTTCAGGAACACCTGAGGCTTGAATTTCCCCAAACTCTGCTTCAAATAAATCAGTTCATTTTGGGTAAAGATCCAGGGCTCTCTGTTATTATAAACTTCCTTTTCCCCTGGAGAAAAATCTCTGAGTCAGTGCTATTGACATTGGGGGAGGGCAGTAGCTTCTAGTTTTCCTGGCTGGTCTTTCCCAGATGGAACCTCTCTGCCCTTCAAGTGAGCTGAGGCAAGGACAATGAAGGTCCCATTTCACCCTGCCATCCCTGTGGTAGGACTTCTACACCTAGGAGTAGGCATGGAGGGAAGGGGGAGCCCCAGCCTCCCCACAGCACTCTCCTGCAATATAGCCTCTGCACCTCCAAGTTGGTAGGGATGAGAAATGCTGGCTGCCTGACCCTCCCAGTAAGATACCCTGGGAGCTGAGGGGAAAGGAAGCCCCATCTTCTTGGCCACACCTGCTCAGAGTGGAGGGAAGGGGAAGGGGATATAACACATGTGGGGGCTAGCTATCTGAATCTGTGTGAGTAACCTGACACCTGTCCTGCCTGGCAGAGCCTGTTATAATCCCTGGAGGGGCTGGAGCCAGACAGGCCAAGCCTCTCAATGTAATCTCACTTCCCCCATCCCAACCCACTGG